CACACACACACACACACACACACACACACACACACACACACACACACACACACACACACACACACACACACACACACACACACAAGTACCCTCACATTGATATGAAGCCAGTTCGGTCTATAAATTAAACTTCCACCAACAGATGTGCCTCATCATGTTTTCAGGTGGACTCAGCAGGACTTCCAGCAACACATGAACCCTCTCTGTTGGTGCGTATTTCTGCGTGTACCTGATGCAGCCTGCAGCAGACCGGCCAGCTCAGCGGGAACGGGCAGCGTCGTCACGTTCACAACCTCCCGATTGATGCGATCCTGCACGCACGCACACAGAAACCTAAGGCATGTGACGCCACCTTCAATTCAAACCCCCCCGCTACCACCACCACACTCGCTCACCTCCTCCGCCTTCCTCGCAGGCTCCACCACTGTCTGACAGGACCAAAACAAAAAAAAAAAAAAAAGACAACAGTATCACACTTCACACAGTTGTTCATTTTTAATTGCTTCCTCTAAGACAAACACCCCCTTTGGCTCAAACTGTGTGTGCATACCCTCATGTAGCGCTGGCGGTTGACAATTAGCAGCACGGCAGAACGGAGTCTGATGAGGTACTTTCGCCTTAAAGCAAATTTCTTTCTGTTTATGGTGGGGAAACAGGGGTAACCGTGACAGACGGATTAGTCAAGAAAACACAAAGAGAGAAAAGGAACAAATTCAATAAATGTAGGCCACGAAAAGACATATTGAACACGAGTGATAAAATTTGTCCTCCAAAATACATCCCCTCTCATAAAGGTCAGTCACTGGTATACAATTAGTGTGAGTGTAATTAATTTTCTGAAATTATCATCAAAGATTTTAAGTGTTTGACCTTGACTGTATTGACTTTTTTAGTGAATTTTCCACCCCCAATATAAAATTTACATCACACTTGCTGGTGTTTGCAGGACCAGCATTGACTGAGAAATCCATCCCTTTTGATGGATGGGCAAACTCTTTGAAATCTGCTCACATCAAGGTCAGAGAAGCAGCTTCTCCAAGATAAGGTTCTGCATGTTCAAGTCAGTGAAACCACACACGGACGCCGATGTTTGTGAGCTGTCGACCGAAACGTCAGACTCACTCTGGGCCCGATTATTATTAAAAAGTGTCTACTTTCAGCTGACAAAACTGGAAGCTGGACACTCTGCTTYAAAGAAGACACGCTTTTAGTATTTTACAGATTAGACAAACAAATTACCTAGCCAGGAATCCTCTGCAGCGAGCTTCGAACAAAGTTATACAACCCCTGAATTTGATAAACTTCTTCCTGACGAGACGCATGCGAGTGAATCTCTGCAGCGTCATCGCAGCTATATCCAACACACGGTCGCGCTTCCCTTCCAGCAGCTGATACAGCTCCTCTTTCAGGAAAATCTAACACAAACGTACACAAAATCAGTAGCATCTCTTTGTGATGCATGACATTTTATTTATTTATTTATTTTTGCACGTGTGTGTGTGTGTGTGTGTGTGTGTTCCTGTCAAATCTCACCTTGCTGACTCCCACCTGATATGAGCCTTCCTTCACTGGGCAGAGTTTGTGGAGCATGACGACACAATTTTCTCCATCTGCAGGTGGAGGATCTTGCAGGCAGAGCAGGGCTTTATATCTGTGGCCACATGTTACACAAATATTGAAATGGGAAAAAAAAGGGAATATGAATTCTACAAAAAATAGAAAATAAGAAACAAAATACCCCAAATTGTTTCCTTTATCTTAGGTTGGCTGTAAATCCGTGAGCTCATTTTTGGGGGACTAATTAAAAATCTGTGTATTTAGGCAATCGCTTGCTTGGAGTTTTCTTGGTTTTTCTAGTTTTCGGTACAAATGCCCTTGACGGTGATTGCTGCACCAAGTCAGATTACTTTGTCAGCGTGTGGTGAGAGGTGCTGCGAGATCAATTGGTTTTATCTGCGTTCCTGCTGAAGGAGCTGACAAATACCAGATGGCTCTTTCAACACGGAGAGATCGATTTGCGGGAAATGTATTATCTCCAAAGAAAGACAGCGATTACGGCAGTTTTGAAAAAGTGGCGAGGGCGACACAAACATCGCTGATGAGGGGAAGCTGAGACAGTGTGTACTGTAATTATCTTAGTTCAGACAGCTCTATATTGGTGACCCATTCAGCCCAGGATTAATTAGAACATCTTCATTAAGTGTTTGAATTGACTAAGACAGTTATCAATCAGATTTGTGACTTTAAGTTGCTGTTTTGGGGTCAACAGATCAAAACATTCAGTCAGGTAATCCGAACTGACGGGATTTCCTCRTTAGTAGCTCTGAAACAAATCTAGATCAGATATCGTATTTGTTACTTGTAAATCTCAACTTAAACATACCTCTTCTCACAGTGTTTTTATATTCCTTTCTTGTAAAAGTGGTCCTTTTCCACTCTTCTTCTTCACACACACTCCTGTGTGGAGTTGGGCTTATGACAGAACTTTTTGGTTTTAAATGTTCTATAGAGGGGTTAACGTGACTTAATACTTATTGAAGTTTTCCAGTTTCAAGGTTACAGTGTGTGCTGTGCTTGTGTGTGCGCAGACTACAAAATCAGACCTTCTTTGACATACTATAAATAAAACAAGGTGACACATCCCTCTGGTCYGCACACCCATCAGTCATCCCACCATCACTCTCTGATCCGTATCAGCAGCGTCGTTGCCACACAAGGAGGGAATAATGCAATCAAGAAGAAACGTGTTTGGAACAACTATGGTAAATTACATTACAGTAGCTTTTTATCTTATAATTCATAAAAAAGAACCAAAGTGGCAATCTCCTGACTCCTGGTGGCAATACTGATTAAATTTGCGTAGCTTTCAATAATTTCATTTCCCAACAAACTAAAAATGCTTTGAAAATAAGACATAAAGCGACATGTAACGTCAATAAATTTACAGCAAATGTTTTGTCCGAACTGTACGAATTTGGACTGCAGGGAACAACATTCCTTAAAGGAATGAATGTTACCTGTCAGCTTCAATACCAGAGTTTTAGTCATTATGATCATCTTAACTGTAAAGATAAGGTTATGTCATATGTAACTGCAAGATGTCACAGTCAGATTATTTGTTTTATCTGACGCTCAGCTCTAACCACAGCAGGCTTTAGCTCAATATCTAAAACTGGCTGCTGTWAAGCCATTTTTGTGTTCGCTCAGGTTAAGAAACTGTTGCCGCCATCTTGCATTAAACTGACTCTAAAAGGCAGTCAAGTGRTTCTGAAAGTTTCATTTGAATCATTTGTGTGGTTCAYCTGATATTTTGCTGACAGACAAACAGGGTGGATTCCAACTGTTTTGAGCAAAAATCTTGCACAATGAGTAGGACCTGGTGTAGTTTATGTTTGAATAATAGCAAATTGTGCATCTTCTAAAGTCAGATATTTGTAGCAGTCATCCTAAATGGACGGCTGTGGCTGAGTCGTCCTCTAACCAGAGGTTGGCGGTTCGATTACCCGCTATTCAGTCTTATGTTCAAGTGTCTCTGGGCAAGACACTGAACCCTCTCTGCCTCTGTTGTGTATCCCATCAGTGTATGAATGTGGTTTGAAGCACTGATTGATTTGTAWATGCTGTGTGAATGGTAAATGAGGACAGATTGYAGTGTGAAGCACTTTGAGTATCCTGGTTGGATGGAAAGGAGCTACATAAATACAGTCCATCTCAATCAAAGTCTCTAAAAGTTCATCAGTTGTACGTCCAATGATGATTTTCTGAAAGTGTCAATAAAATTTGTCCAGCAGTTAGTGAGTGTCACAACTGAAGTTGTATAGTTGTGTGTGTGAGAAGTAAATTTGTAAATTAGTGTCCCGGTGGCCAGCCATGACTGGACGATCGAGATGAAGGAGATGAATGGTGATTGGCTGCCTGAAAAATGAGCCGTGGAATAATGAGCAGCGGAGGTGATGATGTTGGGATTTTATTCATTCCATCCAACCACACCTGACCCGCTGTGCCACGTTAACTGTTGTTTGTAACAGTTTCATGAGGAGTTTGTAGGGGTGAGCCGCCACCTTTTATCTCCTGTTTATGTCGATCTAGAAATGTTAGAAATTGTGTTGCATTTTGTTGTATTTTTGTAAAAMGCTCAGAGGGAAAAATGAAGATGGTCATGTTTTGTTTGTTATTTTGGCCTTGGCTCACCCTGAGGGTGGTAAAACTCCAGTTTTGTAAAGAAATAATCACAGTAAATGAATCATACTTTCTATACAACCTTGTTCTGTGGCTGCTTGAATTGTGCAGAGGTTAGAATCTCCATTTATGTTACATCACATGATGCGTCTCTTTACATTGTAAAGAGATTGTTTGCTTTAGGGCTGGGTTGCCTTAAGACAAAATTGAACTATTTAGAATCARCATTTGTGCTAGCTTTATGATTAAAACACACCAACTGGCTCAACCAAACAGGTGAAAAAAGAGACCAAACAATTTTAGGTCTAAACACTGTGTCAGACAGATAACAGCAATTTGCATTTTGGTACAGGACTAAACTTCTCCTCAGCACCAATTTGTGCAGTATTACTTGTCACCTGTCTGTCTTTCTGTCACGAATGACAGAATTACAAATGACTCTAGCCGCTKAGCTGACGGCTAAMGCTTTTAACACAAAAGGAGTTGTGCCGAAGTGAGAAAGTGCTTTTGTAGTCTTTAGAACCTACAGGGTAAATACGGTCTTATTCTTCAAATTTACAGTTTCGTGATGCAGCCTGCGCTGCTAGATAACAGCTACTGGTGGGACYGTGGTCAATTCTGAGTGTTGCTTTTGCACAGCTATGAATAGCAGCAAGTTTTCWTGACTTTAATTATTTTAAAAAGTGTTAAAATACTGTATGTGTACAATTTAAGATCTGCAAGAAACTCATCCCATGGTGACAAATGGATGTGCTCCAGAGAGCCCCGGCCCAATTTACGCACCAGTGCTATATAAATAAAACTAACTTGAGTTGACTTTCAACACACTCAGTGTCAAGATGCTTCAGGAACCAACCTTGATAGGAAGCTGTGAAAATGCATTCTGATGGGATAACCCTCCTTCCTGATGCGAATGGTCTCCATAATACCAGAGTAGTGCAGCTGAGTGTTGACCAGCTCCATGTCAAACACTGCTGGCTCCTGCACACACACACATACACACACACACACACACACACACACACAC